TTTGGAACTCAGATTATCCTGGGGCTCTCCTAAAGGCAGCATATATTAAACAAATAAAGTGGCATCAAATATTAGTTTTGTTTCCAAGAAGTCATATTTACATTCCCAACCTTGAAGCCCCTTCTCATACTTCTATCAAATGCTTGAGTTTCTAGTATCTGCCTCCCCTTAATACTGGACACACATGCACATAAACATGCACGCGCGTGCACGCGCACACGCACACACACACACACACACACACACACACACACACACACACCCCATAGTATACACTGCCAGACCATCAAAACTCTAGCAAGCAGAGGGAGAGGGGGATGCACAGTCCATCGAGAACCTGAGTGCCATTTCTCCAATATCTTTCATATCATTCAAAATCATTCTTTTCTTTAAATCCCCTTCCACAGCTTTCCCCATTACTCCCACCTGACTTTTCCTATACTCAGTCATGCTTGTTGACAGAGCTATATAGAAGAGGAATTAACGCTACTTATAGATGAAGAAACTGAGATTAAACAAATTGCCAGAGGTCTTATAGGTACTAAATGACAGAGCCAGAATTCAAACCGTGGTCCTCTGATTGAAATCAATGCCCCCAGATTGATAAAGATCTGTTAACCAAACCACCTTCTTTCTCCATCAAAAGAATAGTGACAGGAATTGTCTTCCCCCATACCATCTGCAATATTTCTAAAGCATTTTGAAACCGTAAGAGTCAATATAAATTTGATCAGTACCTCACCCGGATAAGAAAAGAGATGTTGGAATTTTTACAGTATGGAATTTTACCTACCATGTGTTTTAATGAGATAAATACGAGGAAGAGTAATCCCAAATGCTTCTTCAGTGATAGTGGTTTGCCAGTGAGATTTAGCACTAGTGATGGCAAAAGTGAGATTAAAGAGACTGCACCTATCACCCACTGTGTGCTGAATGGCAATTATCTCATCTCTGGAACTGGGAGAGAATAGAAACAGGCAGATAAGCAAAGCTTCTGGCAGAGGTTGGAGGAACTCTGATAATATCTGGCAATTCCCTAAGCACTTTCCTTAGAGGACTCCTAGAGGTCCTGACCTTAACAGCCCTGGGAGGCACCAATTAATCTGAGCTTCCAATCTCTATTTTAAAAGCAGCTTACTGGTTTTTAAGAGGTCTTTTGGATCACTAGCAACCAATAGATGAAAGTAGAAGAGAATAGATGATCCCATTTTACAGTCAAACCAAGGCATAGAACAATACAAATGAGTTCAAGCCTGCAATATTCCTGCCTTACAGCAATGCCTCATTGGGGCATTCTTAACTTCATAGATAATGGTTTTAGATTTGTCTTACCCAAATGACCGTTAATTATGATACATTATGATACACAATGCATGGGTTAAAGCCACCCATTGTTCTAGGCGCCAAAAGGAGGGTCATTTGCAAGACCTGGCCCTTTTTGGCCAGAGATCAACAGAGCGAAGAGCAGACCTTGGTCTATAGAGGAAACAGCCTGTGTGTATCCACAACCACCCCCAGAAGAAGAAGCTAAAAACTCACTTGTAGCAGAGAGTTCCTGGGCCCTACATTCTGGAATTGAGCCCTGAATCAAGAGAAAGGGCAGTTTCTGAACATTTCCATTGTCTTAGAGACAAATGAAAGCCATTGATCTAGAAAGAAGAGGGCTACATACTAGGCAACACCAGTCTCCTGGGGAAACTGGGATGGCAGGCGTGGCCCTTGTGGCTGGAAGAGCAGTCACTTTCTCTATGTATTTACTATGAATTATGTATACAGGAAGGGGAATTGCCTCTCTAACAAGCTCATTTTCTTTGCAGGAGATATCCAAACCCCTAAGTTATACCATAAGGCTCTATACTTACATAGGTGTCTAGGAGAAAGTGGGGCATACCAGAATATCAGGGCATTGTCTACATATCAATGTAATTAGCCTCAGAATAGTACCACAAGTCTGAATATATGTAACAGTCTGTGCCTACAATGTACCTACAATGTACCAGGCACTGTGCTAAAAGCTAATGATACAAAGAAAATCCCTGCTCTTGAGGATCTTATAGGCTAATGGGGGAGACAATGTTAAAAAAAAAAACTGTGTACACACAAGATATATAGAGGATAAATTAGAGATCATCAACAGAGGGAAGATGATACAGAATTAAGGGAGATCAGGAAAAGCTTCCTGAAGAAGATGGGTCTTCAAGGAAGCCAGGGAAGCCAAGAGATAGAGACGAGGAGGGGGCCATCCCAGGCATAGGAGACAGCCAGGGAAAATGCTCAGAATCAGGGAATGGATTGTCTTGTTCAAGGAACAGCAAGGAGGCCAATGTCATGAGATCGTAAAGTATGTGGTAGAGGAGAAGGTGTGAGAAGACTCAAAATTTGTGGGATGAGGGGTGTCAGGTTATGAAGGATTTTGAATACCAAACAGAGGGTTTTATATTTGATATAGGGAGCCACTGGATTTTTCTGAGTAGAGGGAGCAGGGGGAGGATGTAACAATATCAGACCTGTGATTTAGGAAGTTCACTTTTGCAGGTAAGTGCCAAATGGACTAGAGTGGAGAGAGATGTACAGCTTTTATAATTGTCCAGGCTTGGGGTGATGGAGTTCTGATGAAGGTGTCTCAGTGTTAGAGAAGAGAAGGGAGAATATGAGAGAGATGTTATGAAGGTGAAATTGAAAGATCCTGGCAACAGATTAGATGGGGCTTGGGAGTAGTGAGGAGTCAAAGATGACAGCTAGGTTGCAAGCGTAGGTGACTGGAAAGATGGTGGTACCCTGAATAGTAAGAGGAAAGTTAGGATGAAGGGACCATCTTGGGGGAAAAGATTCAGTTTGGGGCATGTTGAGTTAAAATGTCTATAGGACATCCAGTTCAAGATGTCTGAAAGGCAGTTAGAGATGTGGAGGTCAGCAGAAAGGTTAGAGATGGATAAATAGATGTAAAAGTCTTCAACATATAGATGATAATTTAATCCATAGAAGCTGATGAGATCACCAAGTGAAATACTATAGAGAGAAAAGAGAAGAAGACCCAGGACAAAGCCCTGTGAAATACCTACAATTAGTGATCATGACCTAGATGAAAATCTAACAAAAGAGACTAAGAAGGATCAGTCAGACAGGTAGGAGGAAAATCAGGAGAGAGATATCACAAAAACCTAGAGAGAAGAGAGTATCGAGAAGAAAAAGATGACAGTGTCAAAGGTTTCAGAGGACAAAAGTTTCAGGAAAAGTTTTAAGGATAAAGATTCAGACCCATTATGGAAGGAAGCATATTGTAACAATTACCTATGGGCTCTGTAAGCCTTTTATAATTTGGGAAGTAGAAGAAAAGCTGCACTGTACCTCAAAGGGGCACTGTGTCCTCGAATGCTTGCTTAGGAGCTAAGAACCCTTTTACCGACTTTTGTTGAAACTTAGACGTGAGCTAAATTCAAAGTTTATTCTAGGATTTCCCAGAAGAAATTCTAAGTATATACAAAATGAATTAAAGAGTCATGGTTTGAGGGTCTGCCCCAGAGACTAAACACAGCCCATGCAAGCCTAGAACTTAGGGCACTGGGACGAGTTACAGAAAAAGAAGTATTTATTCAGTGAGTTGATCCAACAGAAGCATAGAAGCTTCTGTAGCAGAGTAGTCTAGAGATCCTCTCTATGAAAAAGTCATTTGGCCGTATTCCTAAAAGCGCATCTTTTCTACCCCATAATACAGTCACAATCAATGAGCACTCAAGAAGGACTTGATATTCACAGGCATTGAAGGAATCTGCATACCTTCATAAAAAGTATCTTTTAAAATCTTACTCAACACAAAATAGCTAAGTCACAATGAAAGTCCATATGGGGTTTGGCACCTAGATGGTCTTCTTTGTCCCCTACCTGTGTTCTGAGGGAGCTACTGGTAAACAGTAAAGTAGCCAATGGGAAAGAGAAGCCAGAACAGAGAGAAGGAGCAAAGGGCCATGGTTTCTTTATTTACTGAGTTGTCACTAAAGCCTCTCACTAGTGACATTAAGGTTTCTTCTGATAGAAAAGCATTCAAGTTGGGCTCAGTGATAGTTATGGAACTGCATCTATTTTCTAAGAACCAGCTTATTCAGTGTGGAAAGGTTCATCACCAGAAGAATGGTCACCAGGGGATGATTTTTTTTTAAGCCAAAGCAAGATATTATCAACTAAGTCATGCAGGAAGCTATAAGCTGCATTGGTAGATAGATTTCCTACACCAAATCCCTTGAAATATTGAAGCAAATGATTAAAAGGCAAAGTGAGTTAGTGGAAAAAAACATTAGTCCCAATTCTACCATTAATGATGTGACCTTGAAGTAACATTCACTCTCAATCACCAAATGCAGTTTCCTCAACTTTAAAGTGAAGGTTTGGGACTAGATCATGTCAAAGTTCATTCTCAGCCAAAGCATTGTATGAGACTTTCATAATGCCAAGTTTGTGAAAGCTTACCCAGCTCTGGAGCCACCATATCTCTGAGGTTTGGGATGTGGAAAAAATAATGGAGGCCTGCATAACATTCAGCCTGGGGGCCACAGCCCACACGCCACTTGAAGCCTGCCAAAGGATTTCCGGTGGCCCACAAAAAATGTAGAGGATGTAACTATGACTCAGGTCATCCTCATACCCAAAGGCTGTTCTCAGACAGAGCTAATAGGGCTCACTGGCCCTTTAAGAAGAAATGATTAAGAGGCCTAATAATACCTTTGAGCAGGTCTGCACAACATACTGCCCATGGGCAATATGTTCTGCAGGCCTGAAATAAGGCATAAAAATGGTCAGTAAACCATAGGCAGAATTTTCATAAGGGTGAATACATTCTGTTCATTCTGCCGCAAAGCATTTTAAAATCTTACCATCTTCCTAAGATCATATATTCATCAAAAGGGTACTGAAGAGTCATCCTTAAGGACAAGGAATCTAAATTCAAATTGTTATTCTTTTTATTTTTTATTTTATATATTTATTTTTTATTTCTCTCCTCCCAGGTCACAACCCTCCATAAGCTCTCCACATGAGAACGGGTAACTTTCCTCAAACCAGCAAGGCAAATTCCTCAAAGTCCAGTACACACCAGATGGTTTCTACAGATGGTAGATAGCAGCTCTTCTTCACTCACCCAGACAAGTATTCAAGACACCTGGCTTCATACTAAGATGTCTACATCTACATTGAGTGTTTGGGGCCAGTTTTGAACTCAGGTGTTCCTAATTCCAGTTCTATGCTCTATCTACTATGCCATCTATCATCCTCATCATCACCATCATCATCTACATCATCATTATCATCACCATCATCATCTACAGGTGACCACAGAGGCTTCTGGGCACCAAATTAATTGCACTTTGTGTTGGTCTAACCCTGTTCACAATTTAGCTTCAGTGGAAATAATTCAGATGAGTTACCTGGCAGAGTGAAATGGAATGTACCTGTGTCCCCCTGAATTAATGCATCCTTATTGTTCTTTTCTATGACTGAGTAAACTCCTCTTTGCTAATTATTTTATAGTCCTCAAGTGTCCCATTTCTTTCCAATCTTGAGGCTAACCGTTGGACGGACCTTAGTTAAGCCTGGACTAGAAAACTATGAAAGGGACATTTATTAGAATCATGTGTTATGTCCCTTTCCACTCCCAAACCTCCAGACTTCAGACAGCTACTAGTCAATGACATTGGTTAATATATTGATGCAACTCAACCTCCACCTTCTACATGAAGCCTTGATTAACAGCTAATGACCTCTCTATCCCAAACTACTTGTATTTAAATTTTTATTTATTTGTATTTATTCATTATATTCATTCTACATGTATTGATATATTTCCTTGCTTTGTCCACCGTTACAGTAGGGATTTTTTTCCATTGTTTTTGTATCCCGAGTGCCTAGCACAGAGGCCAACACCTAGCAGCTGCCTGATTGATTGACTGATTGATGTGTTTAACGGTTTCTGTTCTATTAGTACGCATTATATACAAGTCCCAAGCAAGTCACTTAACTTCTTGGTGCTCTAGAAAGCTCTCCAGATCTATAAGATTCAGAGATGTTAACCTGAATTAGCAGAGGGAGTTTTCTGATCTGAAAGTTCTCTAAATTAATGAAATTACAAATTCTGCCTCCATCCAAGCATCAAAATGGTTAAGGGCTTTGAGTTCATGCCATACAAGGATTGGCTGAGGGAAATAGGGACATTTAGCCAGCAGAAGAAAAGCGTGGATGAGAAAAAGCCTTAATAATTGTCTCTATGTAGTGAAGGATCTTCACGTGGAAGAGAAGTCAGATCTATTCTGCTTAGTCTCCTAGGAGCAATATGCAGCAACTGCAAAGAAGCCGGTGTAGACTTCTTGAAAGGAAAAGCTGCTTCGTAATTAAACCCACCCAAAAGTAGAATAAGCTACCTGGGGAAAACTTCAAGCAAAGATTGGATGACAACTTGTAGGGTACATTGTAAAGGGGAACCCATTTTATGCATGGAGTTGGACTAGATGGCCTCTCGTATTCTTCCAAATCCTGACTGATTCAGTGATCCCCAACAGTCCCAAGCTTGATTTACTAGTGTATTAGGTAGTGATGCCTTGGAAATTGTCAATGAGACCTTACTGTGTTCTGGATATGTGTTGGGTTTTTTTTTGTTTTGTTTTGTTTTTGGCTAGGCAATGGGGTTAAGTGACTCGCCAAGGGTCACATAGCTAGTAAGTGTTATGTGTCTGAAGCTGGATTTGAACACAGGCCCCCTGAATCCAGGGCCGATACTCTATCCACTGCGCCATCTAGCTGCCCCCTGGATGTGTGTTTTTAGCATGAACTATATCAGTTTGGGTGCTTCCAGTCTCAATGTATAAATTCCTTCCTAGTTTAAATAGCCACCCAAAAATGTATTCCTAACTTCTGGACTTTTTCTGCCATCACCTCTAAATGACTCACACTGGAAATATCCTCTACTCTGTGACATCTTCTTCTGATTAATGATAATAATAACTAACATTGATATCGTGTTTCCTATATGCTAAGTATGGCTGGTTCCTAGAACCTCCACTTGAAGGAAGCTGTCCAGGCCAGCCATGTCTACTTTTCACTCCAGGCTGCATTATTAACTTACCAGCCTTTCTCTACTGTTTCCCTTCTCGGGTACTTCCCCTCCCTTCCCATGCTTTTCAACTTTCTTTTATGTGTTGTCTTTTCCAATTAGAATGTAAGTTCCCTGTGAGCAGAGACTATCTTTCTTTCTGTCTATATTGATATTCTTAGCACTTAGCACAATCCTTTTCACATAGTAAGTATGTAATTTTTTTTTGTAAACTTAAGTGAAAACCAGAAATCAAGAGTGGGGAGTGTGGTGTGGGAAGGGAGAATGGAAGAAAGAATGGAAGGAGGAAAGGAAAGGGTTGCCTGTCTCGGGGAAAAAAAAAAAAACTAAACCATCCAAGGACATCCACACATTGCGAATCTGGCAAAAAAGAACTAGACTTAGGAGTCAGGACATCTGTGTTCTACCAATACCTCTGTAACTTTGGAATAATCATTTCATCTCTGGCATTAGTGTCCCCTAACTGCAAAATGAATTGGATGAAATAATGTCTGAAGTCCAGCTCTGAAATCCCATCATCCAATGATCCCTTACTTTGCGAATACTTCTCCCAAAAGAGTAGGCCAAAAAGGTTCTCCCATTTTGAGCAAATATTTAACCCAAAAGAAGAGGAAAGGTTGATTCTGAGTCACGTCTCACTGCAGCACCAGAACTCTCCAGAGGTGGCCTGAGCATCCCAAAGTAAATATGATACCGTGGAGATGAAGGCTGTCAGATTAGACAGAAATAAGTGTGCTCCATTTCTGCCCATGCTGCCTTCGGTCATAGGAAGCTCTGACAGACATTACCCCAGGGGAACAAGAGGACTCTTGATTACTATTCTGAAAAACCAAGTCCCTCTGGTAAAGAGGGTAGGTTGTGCCCTTTCTTTAGAAAAAAGCGACAGTTCTTCCAAGGTTAGTCACAACACTCAGCTGAACAGAGATAGGCTCAGATTGTTCCCAATCAGTTTAGAAAGTTGCAACCACATGATTAAAATCTAAAGATGAAGCAAACTCATTTTGAGTTCTTATCGATCAGTTCAGAGGATAACCCTAGAAGTATGTCTTCACAGCAGCTTCCCTTCTTCTTTTGGTGGGATTGGTACTAAATAAAGTACTACAGCTAATGGCAAAATCATTATACTAATTTACAAGGAAGATCTAAGTGAAAATGTGCTGACAGTGTAAGGTGATCTCAGAGGGGCTGAAGGGCAGCAGCCATGAGCTACAAAATGAAGCCTACATTACAAGCATCCCTTATAGCCAGCAACATAGCTCCTCTCTGCCTGTCTCCAGTACATTTAACCAAAGAGTGCCCAGTGCACTCCCCTTTTCTTCTTTGGCCTCTAAATGGCAGAATCACTTTTAAGTCAGCTAACTCCTCCTGCTTTATACCTAGAGTGGTAGAAGAGGATGAAAGGGGTGTGGAACCAAAAAGGCAAATAATGTCCAGATATGAAGCCTAGAAGAAGCATTAAAAAGCAATACAAGGCAAGGGACTAACAAGCTACATAGTGTAATGTCAAATGCATTTAGTTTTGAATTTGAGAGGCAAGAAGCATCCCTGGGAGTTGTAGCGGTCAGCAGTTAGAAGACTTTGGTTTTGGAAGGATTGGCGTGTATGTAGGTACATATGCATATATCATGTATATACACATGCATTTAATAGGTCATATGCTGAGTCATAAAGCGTCATAGTTTGCGAAAAGGTTTCCTGGTGCAGAGCAAAGAACACTGGACTCAGAGTGAAGACATCTAAGGCAGCTAGGTGACACAGTAGATAAATCACCAGCTCTGGAGTCAAGAAATTTGAGTTCAAAGCTGATCTCAGAGATTTACTAGCTAGGTAAGTCACTTAATTTCTGTTGCCTAAAGTTTCCTCATCTATAAAATTAGGATAACAATAGCACCTACCTCCCAGGGTTGTTGTGAGGATTAAATGAGATAGTGATTATTAAACACTTAGCACAGTGCCTGGCACATAGTAGGTGCTATGTAAATGTTAGCTGCTATTATTATTTTTATCATCATATCATCATCATCATCATCATCATCACTAGTAACTACCTAATATTACCTTGTGGATTTAGGCAAGTGATTTAAACTCTCTGGGTATTCCTCATTTTGTGTGGGGAAAGCATCGATTTTGCTGCCAGTAAAAATACAGGGCAAAGATTACCAAATCTACTCCACTTCACCATCACTCTTCCTAAATGAAGCTTGGGAATAATTTGTATTTTCCCATTGCTGGCAGTCAGTTGCAGTTTGGAAATTAAAAAGAATTCTATTAATCCAATCCAAATATAAGGCAGACTGAAGAGAATTATAAGTAGAAAAGTAAAGGTATATAGACTTCACCTAAGAGTCAAGGATTTTGCTGGCTAGATGAATGTGGTTATGGTTCTGAATCACATATTAGCTAGAATAACCCTAATATTTTGGGTTAGGTGCACAAGAAGAGCTGTTAAAATTTCCCTGTCGGGAATAAGAACATTGTAGCTAAAATTTCATCATGAAATTAGAAAATAGCAGGAGCAACTCAGCATAGAACCAGAAGAAAATGACCATCATCATCATCATTATCATTATCATCATCATCTTCTTCACTGTTATAATTCAAAAGTAAGATCTACGTGAATTTAAACAATATGTCAACATAGAAGCATCTCACAAATGTCAGAGGCATCCTGATTTATTTACACAACAAAGGTTATGTGATAATAATTCAGAACCAGATCACTACCATAAGAAGGTGTAGAAAGGTTATCTTTAAGGAGTCCAGATATATTAATCAGCACCAATTTTGGTATTAAATGGTAGAAACTGGGAAACACTTTCTGCAAATGACAAAAATTTAACAACCTAGTGATTAGAGTTATTCACCAGAAACTAGTTATTTTTCATAAATTAACAAATGATAAATCCCCATATGATAATAAAGATCTCAAAATATTCTTGAAAATTCAACCAATAAACTGAATTATCACCAATCCATTATCTCAGATGGAACTATTTTCCATGACTGACCAGAAATAACATTTATTCACAAAATTTCCTAATGGCATTTTTAATAGATGGTGCAGCAAATAAAGTTAGGGAAAGCACTGAATTCAAATCCCACCTTAGACAATTACTAGCTGTGTTATCCTGGATAAGTCTCTCCTCCTTGGTTTCCTGATCTTTAAAAACAGTGAAAATAATAGTATCATCTTTTAAAATGGTGATGATAATGACAGTGCTTACTTTACATATTATTGTTAAGATCAAATGATAGAAATTATACATATAACATATACATATTATGTGTGCATATGTAACGTGCATATACATTTTATATATGTAAAGTACTTTGCAAACCTTAAAGTGTTATATAAATATTATCTGTTATTATTTTTATTACAATCTCTTAGCTAAATGGAATGAAAAGCTTTCAGA